CCGATCGACAGCAGAGCATTCTGGAAAAAAATTATACAGATTTTATTGCTAGGTAAGTTGTAAAACTTTATATAGGTAAACGCTAAACAGTAGAACCAATAACTAGCTGTCTTAAACTGTGCTAAAACCGCTAAAATTCTGCTCCCGACATTGATTACGTTCACCATGAAATTGCCGCTGTTTCAAGCTCCAAAGAAAATAATCTGTAGTAAAACCTGCAGATATTGTTTCAAGTACCATTGCGCATATCTATCAGTCCGAAAGTTTATTTGTACAAATAATTGTGAGAGAGTAAAAAGCTTAAACTCTTCATGTAAACGAAAAAATTACATGTTATGGAAAGGAATGCATCAGCCTGATACATTCAAATTGTTAGGCTGTCTTTTTTGATCCCTCTCAAGCTATAATACATTTTATTATCCGTAAAATGACTGAACATCGAAGGACGAAAGGGGCGAAGCTTCAGTGATTCGTGGATCATTACAGTACGACATACCTTCGACAGGTTTGGCACGCAATCAATGCTAAATTTTTAAATGGCAGCAATGGCAACACAAAAACGTTCTAACGATTGGAATAAACAACAAGACGCAAGCTGCAACCTTAGTTCAATTTTTACCGAATTAGAGTCACAAAGCTACACTTCTTTAGGAGCTGCTAAACTCAGGGTAAGGGACATCGTTACTGATTCTTGAAAATGATACAACAGATAAAGATGAAAATAACAACAAGGGTTGCCAAAAGAACCGTTCATTCGATTCTGAAGTGGCAAATATTTAGTTCCTGAACCATGACTGCATGACAAAGATCTTCTTTCTTCTACATACAGTGAATAAGCAGAACATTTCATGCTGAATTAGGTCCGTTAAGATTACTCCCAACTGCAGCATTATGTTTCCATATTTGAACCGCGTTCTATCTACTATTTTCAAATTAACTACGTGAATAATCAACACCGAATACAGCAGTTAACAATCAATTGAGGACTCCCGTCAACCTTTCAATGGTAAGCCTGTATAGGTATTCCATCGGCAAAACTTTCCAATCGTACTTTCTTCGAATATAACCGGTGCTTCCATCGGTTTGCGAGCATAATAAACGATCAATCGATTCATAGAATCTTTCAATGTTATTTTTGGTGTTTTATTGCTTGCCTCAACTCCATAAATTTACCGTCGCATATTGCAACCATCAATCTCTAAAATCATCAACGGCGTTCCGTACCTGATGCAAACTTTTGCTGTTGACGGAGAAATTGTTAAGGTGTTTGGTAATAAAGTTTTTTTTCCTTGAGAAGAACGCTATCTACTTCCTTCATGCGTACGGCACCGTATCCTGTTTTTCATTTTTTATCTTCCATGACTACTTCTCCTTTGGATCACGAAAGCAAACGCGTCAGACAATGTTTCCACATCCCCGATCCTATGCCAGAGTCTGATCTTAAGCAGTAGACAAGTGGGTCAGGAGCAGCTTATATCCTTATTTTTGCACCAGATTAATCTCGACGGCCCCCTAAGCCTTCTGCCCGATTGCTGGGCAAGAAATAATTGCTTCGCCTTCCTCTCTGGAAAAATTCGGAACTGGACCGAACCATCGCAATCGCACCGCCTCTATGAAGAAATTGTATTCCTGGTTGAAGAAATCATGAATTCGGTTGTCGTGTACTTCACTAAAGATTGTCCTCTGCATCTCGAGTTCCTTTGATTCGGTTGATTTCTCCGAGGAAAAGGCCAGTTGATTGTTTCTGTCGCTGGTGTTTAGTCTCAGCAGTCTTTTTTCCATTGTCTTAAGTATACGGGATTATCAGGTGGAGGTTTCGGTATCTGAGAAGAAAAGTTAAATCGTTCTTACGCTAGCAATAATGTCGCACTCCTTTTCCGTTTTTCTGGATAATGAGAAGGTATGCGATCCTTCACGGCGTCGAACGTATATCAAGATAAAATAATTCGTTCGTGCTTTAGTTGTCATGCTGAAAGAATAGCACAAAAACGGTTTACTTTCACACAGTGCAAGAGAGAGTGTAGTCGGTGGCTGACCAATGCCGACTATTCCGGAACAAAAAAACTGTAATGAATCAAGCTAAGGCTCAACTTTATAAAGATAAGATAGCTGTTTCAAGTGTTGGATTAAACTCTGGTCTGCAAATTTAATCTTTCCCATTTGAAACCATGTCCATTATAGAAATTCAAGTCCCCGTACACTAAAAAGGGCATAGTAAAATCCTTAACAAAAAACACTGAACCTCTGATATCTCACATTAAATAGCTTATACTTAACTTGACCGTTATAGTATTTAAAGCCAGTAATTCTCTCAAAGTGAAGAATAAGGTTATAATTTAAAAAGTAGATAAGAGGAACGACACGGCGGTCATGGATAAGTCTTATTACATAAAAAATGTCATGATTTGCTCAACATCTCACGTCTTCTGCTGGATTCCAGCACCATCTCCTTTCTTGTTCACATACTTTGAACTCTTTAATAGGATATTGTCTAAAATGACCAACTAGATTCGAAGTTCTTCTTCTTTATAGACACCCCTCCAAAGCTCAAGTGTAACCGCCTGGCACCGTACTTTTATTGTTTATCTAAAATACATAAACCTGATATTCCGTTTAGACCTACTGTCTCTATTGTGAACTGTTTTTTTGCAAAGGTTTCGAAACTGACGGCTAAAATGCTCAGACACGTGGCTAAAACAAACCCATCTTACACCAAAAACTTCCACTAGTTTCACAAAGATTTCGAAACAGATAAAGTCCTCTGAAAATGCAGTATTGGTGGTTATGACGTCATGGACCTATCTACTAAACAACCCTTATTATCAAAATATCTGATAAAATTCTTCAACGATATAACTCGTACTTAAATAAACTTTAACAACGTACTGACCTCTCTGTTAATTGTATCGCAAGACTGATTGCTTTCTATACGATAGAGGCGGATTTCTTTTCGCTTTGTGGTAGTTTCTTCATGCAAACGGAAGGAGCATCAATAGGTAACCCACTTTCCTCCATTCTTTCCGAAATTTTCACGACGCGTTTTGAAAATATGACTCGAGACAGATATGCAATTCCAGACATTTTTGGAAGTGTTTTCAAACGATATGCTACTTATGTTTTTTGTTATTACTCCAGTGGTAATGAAAATAAATCTCTAGACCTTCTCAACGACCTATACTCTCAAAATATCGAGTTTGCTATTGAAAGGAAAAACGACTCCACCCTATGGTTTCTTGATGTCCTAGTAATTAACACCGGTCACTGCTATAAAACTAAAACTTTTGTAAACTTACTAGCTGTCGCAAATATTTAAACTTTAAATCACATAGTAATTTAAACAGTAAACGTTGTGTAGTTCCATCTTTCATAGACAGAAACTTTGTAGTACTAAATTTCTTAAAGACGAAGTGAAGAATATCAGATTAACCTCATGCAATAACAATAATCACTCAGCTAAATTTGTTAATAACGTTATAAATTGTAGAGTAGGCCAGTTTAAGTTTATTTGTAATACTGACAAGACGATTAATAAACTTTAATTAATTCTGTCTTATTATAAAATCTGTAGTGAAAAGTTGCACAGATTACTCATCACTAAGTATAATATTAATGATGTATATAAGCTATATAATGTATATGAGTTGTTTAGGTAAGTCACACACAAGAAGACAACGCATAAAATAGTCTTTAATTAGGCATATCTGACATATTCAATTGTACTCTGAAGACGGACCGAGCTTGGTCTGAAACTTCAGATGTCCCCAATTAGAGACTATTTTATGCATTGTCTTCCCGTTTGTGACTTACCTAAAGATTTTATCACCACCCGCACAAAGAAATCATGAACGATTTTCAATATATGAGTTTTAATAATTTTTATGTCTATTAAATAATTCTGAGAATAATAAATTCCTAGGTTGGGTTTACAAAGTACAATGTAAGGGCGGGATATATAGCATGGAAGAAACAAGGAACACCGTAAAGCAGAGAACAAAGATTCATTTGTTAGGATGGAGAAGGTAGA